GAGCTGTTTCCTCGATGCGTCACAGGGAGCAGCCAAGGAACCAGTAGAGCATTTTCAAATTGCCGGTCATACATGTCCTCTAGTCATCGCGCATTTGAAGAGGAAGTATGGAGAAGCGCAGGCATTTGTAGATCGCCGAGTCGGTCAGCGACAAGGTCAGAAATTTTTCAGAAAAAATTCAGAAACCCTATGCGAGCAACTTACTTCCATTACGTCACAACTGAATCTTCACGGAGAACATATCGATAACATATTCCTGCAGAAGCAACCCCTCGGGAAGACGCTCCAAAACAGATTTCTTTTTCGGAGAGCAAAACTCCGAGTGGAAGTGGCATGGAACATTATGACCCTGAAACCGCAAAAAAGTTTGTAGAGGCTGACCTGAAAATCGAAAGCCAAGTCGAGCGGAACATAATCAGTAGCCAAGGGATTCATGCAAATGACATGATAGAAGGAAAGAGAACTGTGAAGAAAGGCAGACCAGCGGAGCTTCAACATCCGAGGCTCTGTTTTTACTGTACAAAAACAGGACATACTGCGAAAAAAAAANAAAAAAAAACTGCACTGAAGTATCTACGCTCGAACAGCGTCCCGAGATCATGAGGAAGCAAAAACTGCGCCTAATTGCGGCCGAAGAGGCCATACGGCAGCAATATGCTGCAAAGACACTTGTAAAATGTGTGGGATTATTGGACAACACAACTCAATCTGTAAAACTCTCATCCCATACAACCTTTCTCAAACGTCCCAACCCACAAGAGCAAGCAACAAAGAGTGCACAACGCACACCCTTAAAAAGTCAAACATCAACACTTTGGATTCCAAACAGAGCTTGAGCTCAAATGAATATAACCTACTCCACTTAAACAACCACGAAAACGATATGGTCCTAGCAGGAGAGGCTAAAGTGCACAACCCAAACACGGGAACATTTGAACCTGTCCACATTATGTTTAATTCGCGCGCCGATGGATCATTCATAAGCAGCACATTCGCAAGGAGATTGCACCTCAGAGACATTGAGTCCGTACGGCTCAATATCAACACTTTCGGCTCACATCAACAGAAGCCAATATCAAAAACATGTGGTGTCACAACAGTGCAACTGTGGGACGCTAATGACACACAATACACATTCAAGATCACGGGGATCGACACAATCACCCAGTCACTACAACGGAATCGCATCAGCCGCGAGGATAAACGGTAACTCTTTGAAAATGAACTGCAATTCTCCATAAACCCCAATATGGCAAGCATCTGCCCAAAAACTTCACATCAGCAATAAACGCGGTGCTCCAAAAACCCCATCCGTCGGAAACTCCGTGTTGATTGCCGAGACATTGGTACCACGAGACATCTGTAAAATGGGCAGCATCACGAAGGTACACCACTCTCACAACGACATCATCAGAGATGTAGAGTATCGACTGCCAAGTAGACGCGCGACTCGCAGGTCAGTAAACTTGATAGTTCTGGCAGAGTTGGGAGATGCGGGTTCTCTAGAAAAATCGAGTCAACTACATCTGTATTCTCGCCCGAACCCCGATTTAACCTACGTCCTCGTCCGTGCGGAAAAGATACCTAAACAGCGGTTCTGCTTTCTTCCATGAACGTCACCCTTGCACCCACATCCTCATCCACTTCCACCATTCTACCACAAGTGGTAGCCTCACCCACACCCCTCCTCCCCCAAATGCATTCATTAATCACCAACAAAACCGCGACTATCCAATTCCCATCAAAACCCTCGCACGAACCGCCTTTCTTAAATGCAATGCAGTCATACAGTCGTCGTCCTACGTCCGGAACCATTCTCTACTAACCATAAGTAGGTGCGACAAGCATAAATAAAAGAGTTAAAAGGCCTTCGCCTGAGCAAATGTCAGAAAAGGTTTCGAAAGCATCGAATGGAACGAAGGAGCTGGCCTGCACCGTTTGCCTGTAATGCGAGCGTTACGACTTCCCTCTTAATACAGTTACTCGTTTCAGAGCGGGTTTGATCCGATGAAGTTACTAACTGTATTAAGCACTGCGCAAAGCTGGTACATAACTATACGAAGCCGGTACATTAATTTGTGCATGGGCTGATCCTGTATATTATATAGGCCACATACGCAATCGAAAACTGTTACAATTCTTAAGTTAGGCCAAATGCAGGACGCATCGGGAATGGTTTACGTCAGAAACGTTATCCTTTACCCTCCAGGTTTTTATTACCTCGTCTTCACATTTGCTGCATGGCACCAACTGCTGTCGTCTTGCAGTCGAAGAGGGCGACTTCTTCGTCTTCATAAAATTAACACAGCGGCATCTTCTGCCTCCTTGTCCTCGGCGAGGCCTTTCCTGACCGTGTTCGTCATCTATTCTTTGGGGCTGGTCGCTTTTCTTGAGTCTCAAAATCCATTCTTCATCTAATCGTTTGATTCTGTGTCCTTCTCAGTACATGTTAGTACCATCGCAGGCGATGTTCCCTCATCTTTAGTGGGCAGGGGCTATTTGCATGGCCGCCCTGACGTCTTCGTTTCTGATGCGGTGCAGTCGCGTCCATCGTAGGCCCATCTCCGCAGGTCCTTCGCGATTTTCACTAATGATACACCTCCTTTGTCAGCGCTTATAGGCGGCTTTTTTCTGTCTCATAGCATAGCTTAACAGAGTTTTCACTTAGTTCAGGGTGAAAATTACGATCATCGTGGAGTTGATGACGCCCTATATTTTGTCCTGTTCGCCTCAGTAGAGGCGTTGAGGGACAGCAAGGCTGAAAATTCAAAGAATAAATTTGTCGTGGACGAAACTCGTAAGAGGTCACCACCCTTTTCATCCGATTTGAAAGTTTAGAATATGCCGTCCGCAATCTTTCAGCCTGAGTTATATGCTCCTCTTCGTTGGAACTTGATACATCCATAACAAGAACATGACGAGGGTGGGTGCACCCCAAGCAGTCGTTTTCGCCAGGGTTCGCAGTCTGGTCTCTGTGACTGGCAGGTTCACGTGCTAAATTTTCGTTTCCCTCGATATAGCGTCCTACCTAGGCAAAAAATGAAAACCGAATGCGAAAGTAGATTTTCTGACTTTCAATTTAAACTCACCCAACAGAAAATAACCAGTAGCGAGAGAGTTCCGGTCTGGAAGAGCATTTTAGTTTGAAATAAGAGTTGCCGTTCAGCGGGGTTGCCAACAGAGAGGGGTAGCTAGGTAACCTAATAGATTTCATTTTGAGAGAGGGTGATTTTCATGACAAATTCGATTATGCAATTTTTCTGACAACTCATCCAATAACCCATTCTGAGCGGTCTTTCGTCCTGTCATACCTTTGAAGGCTCACCCAATGAGACGGAAAAAGCTGTCTGGTGTGCTTGGCTTTTGCATGGCTTTTTGCAGAGCAGTTGGTGGATACTGAAGTCGCGAAGTCGTCTCATACTGGTAGTCTATCCAAATGTGGGAACGGAGGTAGTTTCCCCGCATTTCCACGTCATGTGGCGGTGGTCACGCGGCGGCTGTCCTATCCTCCCACTGGAAATTGAAGCCTTCCCCCTTATTGCGTGCGATCGGGTGCAGTGCGTGCGACGTCGATTTCGGGGAGAAGATACCGGACCCATCCAAATGTTGTGAAAAGGTAATTTGTAAATGATAAAATTCGCTCTAAAAATGACGGTATGGCTTTGTTTAGATTAGGTTGAGTCCTGGGTGAAACGAACCCTATCAGTCCTTCAAGAGTAGCTAAGTTCAGCTGTACCTGTCAACGGTTCCTCTATACCTGTTGGTCCCGATCATTCCCTGAGAATTTTTTTTCAATCGAGCTTTCAACCCCTGAGCTATAGAATGGCTGACGTTTACAAGACGAAGTCAACCCGTAGACTGTTCTTGATCCCTTGATGAGCAATCATATAAATCGTTTTGCGATGAATTAGGTTCCTCATAAATAGCCTTTTTAGTATCCATCTATATTTATTGAAGGCAAATCGTTCCATTTGTGGAATTCTGTCGCAAACACAGAAATACACTGCTAGAATCAATTGATATTCATAAGTTTTCAACAATTACCCGTATATGTCATAAGATATATACATACCATGATAATTTGGTAGGAATCGACAGCACCATATGCTTATTCAAAGAACTACTCAATTACTACCTATTTTATAGTCGCAAGGAGGACAAACACATAAAATGTCGAGGAGGAGTACTGCGCTTAAGTATGAAGCCGCTACAGTAGTTAGGAGTATTTCCATCTGACCGATCTCCACTTCGCAAGACTTGTCAGTCTTTCGACGTTTGGCAGACGTATCCATTACGGTCGATACGTTGTCGAAGTTCTTCCACCGTTCCGCTCGACGTTATTCCGTTCAGAGATGAAAGTGTTGTAGATGCAGCTGAAAATGGCTTTTACGTTAGCGCTGAAGTTTTCCCTTCACAGTAATTTGTAAGTTACTGGTGGGCTATCGAAGTCACTCAACTCTCGAATGTAAGAGCTTATTAGCGACTGGGTCTCTGACAAAGTCGAAAGACCAGCTCTCAGTGGCTTAACTTGGCAGACTTAGGAAGCGTTTCCATACAACTCAGGTTTTTTTGGCCGGTTCTGGCGCTTATTTATATGGCATTTTCTTTCTGAGTCTCTCAAAGGGCGCTGTTCCAAGAAAGTGGTTTTGCATGGAAGAGTTCTTCGTGGAAGGAGTGGACTAAAACGAAAGAAAGAAGGGGTCGCTTGATTTCCTTTTCTGAATGCAAACTATCATCACAAAATAGGTCTCCTCATGTTCTTTTCAACTGTCCCAGATGTCGCTCCTAGCTAATATTCAGGTGAGCCCAACTGCAATATGAGTCGTGAGGATTTCGCTTTTTAGTTGGAATTTTTTATTTGATTTTTCTAACTTCTAAAAAGGAATGAAAAGTTGTGGATAACCAACCGATTTTCCTCATTGGATTGTTTGCCAACTGTTCCCATTGTGTCTTCAAATGAGATACAGTACCATGGACATCTACGTTTTGTACGGAAGAACTCACGTGTGGTTCGAGAATGCTGACGATCTGAAGAGAGCAAGTACACCAACCTTTCGAAGAGGCTTACCCTTAAGAGTTGTAGTAGGAAAACTAACGTAACCAAATCTGACCTGCGAAAAATCGGGTCTCGCCGCAGGATCCGGATGCCATGCCATTGGAAGCAATCGAAGTATGGGTTCGGGAAATTGCACTGTAGGCTCTTCTGGTAACGGGGGCCGAGCTGAATCACAGATCAATTACAAAATAGAAATACTGAAATACCGCAATTAGTATGCTTGTCGAAACAAAATAAAATAAAAAGGCCTTTTTGTAGCCTCATGGGATTCGTCCCCAGCTGAAGTTGCTTTCACTGATCGGTGATGTAGGAGGATTAAAAATTCGCTTGAATTTGCGCACATTCTCCTCATTGGGAATAAAGTGCACTTTCAAATTTCGCAGAGACTTCCATTTAAGATCGGATACGTGGCACATCCCGGGAACGATTGGCCAGAGACAGATTATTCGTTTGTTGTTACCTACTGCCCATCTCATTGTGAAAACTACAAGAATTGCCTACCTCGTTTGTATGCCATTTCCGCGGCTGCAGCTGCTGGCTTCAGATGTGAAAATGGCAGCTCGGCAGAATGTACTTCCCATACCACCAAAGCGAAGCTGGAATTGAGACAAGTTACTCAAATGATCGCTCCCCCCTAGTTTACTAATTTACACGACTGCGACAAAAGAAGAGGTGACATTGACGACCGGCAATTTACTCATTGGGTTTCAGTATGTCACGATTTGATCAGCTTTTTCGGAGTCACCTGTGTGGTGGTTGGGTTACACCAATGAGTGTGCAGTAACGATTCACATAGGCCAAAAAGTATTTATCCGCCCTCGTCACCTCCTCTTAAGCTGTGAGATGAAGGCATCAATCTCACCTGAAGACATCCACTCGACGATCATATCGCCCCGATTGAGAAAACACTTCCGGTGCCATCCATCGGAGATTCTGAAAATGAAAAAGCGTCTCACGAGTACCCTAGTGAAGTAGTCACACTGAAAGCTAAAAATTGAAGCCTCGTAGGCAGGGGGTATGTTGACGGTGAAATGTGATGGTACGCTAAAACAGACAATCGCTTTAGTTTGTGGTGCTTCTTGAAATTTTTTTTGCCTATACTACATATACTGCACTTATTCCTTTCCACATCAATCGAACTCGCTGCCTTCACAGCGGTTATAATGAAATTACTCACTCCTGGTTGCTTAGTCATGTTGTCTTCATCGGTTTGGCACATGAAACGGCTTTCTCCAAAATCCGCAACCACAGCTCGACCATCGAGATGAATAAGGATATTGTGGCTGTTCAAATCTCTTAAAAAATTATCATTAGTATGCCAAGGCACTAATTTCTCTGTGTTTAGCAGGTCAGGAGGCAATAACTCAACAATTCATTTGAAAGATGCCTAGAAAATTTCTTCGTTTTTCTTTTTTCACAGTATCATGTTTGGCCTTCAGCCTTGGGCTCTGTCTTAAGGCTCTCTCCTTTTTCTTCTTTCAGGGCATTTTCTTCCGGTTTTTGTTGACAGGAATTGCCTCATAGTCCTGCTTTTATATTGTACAGCACACCCTTGGGTGTATTCAAATAAACTCAGCTCAATTATTTATTCCCTTTTTTTACTCTGTATACCAATTTTCGCTCTTCTGTCTATTAGCGACACCATCACCTTTGCTCCTATATAGCTTTTACGATGAAGCTAGCGGAGTTGTAATCTTCATTCTCTCCGAATACGGCTCACATCCAAAAGATGGCCCCGTCCTCAATCTGTTCACCCTCTCTCGGAATCTTCCTTGGCATTTCACTATGCTTACCGATGGATCACAGGTTTCGCTGCGCTTTCATGTAGGTAACGCATTCCTTGGGCAACATCTAGTGAAATTCGCAGGCGAAGTTGGGATTCCAGGACGCTGAAACACATTATTCAGTTGGGTAAGCAAGACGATGGTAGAAGCTTTTCGTGGAAAACAGACCGTTTCTGCTCATGTAAAAGGGAGAATAACGACCCATTGCTGACGAATTCAGTGATGATTGCAAATTGCTAAAATAGTAAGGAGTGATGGATCAAATGCAACATTGGAGCTTACGGGACTCACGCTAGGATCGTCCAATACAGCACCGACGAAGGAGACCACGTTTGGGTGAGCGAGTTTCGAAAGAATTGACACTTCACGACACAACATCTCCACTTCTGATTTACAACCGTACACAGCTGCTCGATACCTTGAAGAGAATATACATCTCTATTTACAAAAAAAAATCAAGATTCGATTCAATCCAAGAAAAGCAAAAAAAGCATGGCAGAGGCCAGCAAAGTTGAAGCAGAAAGAGATAAGTTTAAGGGAATGAGTTCAAAATGAAAATAACAAGAGGGGCAGTTTGGGAACGATCTTATGTTGTTTTTGCCATATGTAAGCCCAAAAGCATTCTATGGGGGTTACATGATTGTATAAGTAAGTAAATCTACTCAGAGTTCGGCCTCACTCGAAAATCTACTTAAAATTCTAGCTTCGTTCTTGTCTTACCTTTTGATGGCAACGATTTTCCCACGGTAACTTCCTTTGTAAACTTTTCCGAATGAGCCACTTCCAATGGCTTCCTTAATGTATAATCAATTAGGAATTTACCCTAAAATTCCATAGATAAGAGCGGTTGAAACTACCGGTGAAAAATGAATTGGAATGAAATTGAAATTGAATGCAGTCACCCTCTAACTTGATGGATGGATAAATTCAACTTCGAAGAAGAAGTTAAAAAGGAGCTCCGCCCCTTAACTCCAAACCCCGCCTACTTATAAACAATTAATATAGAAAAATAGCGATTTAAGCGGATC